CTCCTTGCTCTCTTTCTCTTAGCACATACACACACACACATATATCACACCCCTGGGGCAGTTCCTCTACAAGCCCCACCCTCTACACGAGTCAAACAAAGAAAACAAAACAAACAAAATAGATGTCTTTGGCTGTGCTATACAGTATCATATTCAAAAAGCAGCCCAGGCTGAAACACTCCCTATAACTTCAGTGTGAATGGGCGGGGCTAAACTGCAGTAAGCAAAAATTTCCAGCTATATAACAACTGTTGGTTTTTGTGACATCACAGAAACAGTGAATTCACAACGGCTGTTTTTGCAGCTTAGTTTCCATAATGAACTGTATGGACTGGAGAATGAACGTTCTGAATGAATGTTAGTATGTTTTGAAACTTTAAAAATGTGTTTGTACTATTTGATAAAAGTGAGGAAAAGTAAAGCTTATCATTTAGTTTTTAATGATATGGGCTCTATCATATGGTCCATTGCGATTTGATGTCTGTCAGTGTGTTAGCTGGACCCTATCCACACTTCTGCTTGAAGCAGCCCAGTAAGCCATTTTCAGTAGCCATCCTGTACCTGGTTTGGGTAATCAGTACTGCATTAAGGTGTGCTGACAGTGAAACTGAACAAAGAGTGCAAAGACTGGGTGGCATAGAGGAGAACGGGAACTAAACCTGAGTTCTTCTAAACATCTGACAAGATACAGATGATGAAAGGTACCAGGAAAAATTCCTGTTTTTTACAGTATTCATGTTTATTTAGTCTTTTTACACGTAGAAACACATTTACTGCCAAAGTCTTTTGCACAGCACTATAATTATAAAAAAAAAATAGAATCTTTTATTTGTTTGTTTGCTGCTAAGTTAAGTGATCCTTTACAGTTGGTGAATCTGGTGAATCAGTAGAGACGCTTGCTGTTTAAAGGAATACCTCAGTGTTTTTCAACCTAATCTCCTTCTGCTGTATGTGTGGTGTACGGTCAGTATTAGGCAGAATTCTTTGAGAAAGTAGTGATGTCTGAAAACTGAATCCACTGTCCTAAATGTATTCAGTAATGTATTCCATCACAATACGTAAAAAGGTAATGTATTCAGAATACATTTGTAATGCATATTGATAAGACACAGGGGGAAACTGTGCTGTTGTAATTTATATTTAATTCACATTGTTTCTCACAGTTACTGGTTGGCAGTTTTCTGCACATAATTCTTCTGTTAATATGTTTAATGAAAAATTAATGAACGAAGCTACAAAATTTTCAACATTATTTTGGCTCTCAGCAGCTGCTTCAGTCCACTGCTGCTCCCATAATCCCACCACTGCTCCCATAATCCTTCTGCCTTCTCATGAACTAAGGAAGCAAATCCCAGTAACAAAATCTTTTAAATGTGAGTAGAAAGTGGGTAGGTATGATTTTAAGTTAGTGGCATTTAACTTGCCATGAAACACATGCATGAGCCCAGTGAAACAGAGATGCTAAGCTTATGTCCAGTACTGAGGTTCAGTTCCATCATGCCTCAAAAGAGAATAGTAATTGACTGTGTTGATTTATCAGTCTACTCAGGCTTTAGCAGGAACTGCAGTGTTTGTAAAGAAGCTTGTTTTGAGTTCTTCTTTAGAGTCTGTCTTTACATGCAATATATAAGATATAATATTTATTTAAGATGTAAAAAGTAACTGTATTCTGAATTCTACCTCTCCAAAATGTGACTTGGACTGAATCCAGATACTTAATTTCTATATTTATATATTCTAAATATATATTCCTCTAACTTGTATTCTGTAACATCCCATTCCTGCGTGTGGTCAGTTACTACAGACAATAATTATGACTCATTTTCCTGCATTCTGTAAGAACAGAAAACCTGTTGACTCAAAACACAATTATAATAGAAGCCAATAAGCAGATTCAGAAGCAACATCTGAAGATTATTGTCACTACAAATGCAGCAGACAGAGATTAGCGTAAAACACGTAGGAGTTTTCCTTTAAAGCTCCCTATATCAATGATATTTGCGAAAGAAGAGCTGCATTCCAGTCTTCCCGACTGCAGTAGAGCTCAGATGGCCAGCACAGCAGCGGGGGACAGACAGAGGAGTCCAGAATGCTCACTGCCTGCGCACGGCCCACTGAAGCCCATTCTCACGCCTGTCAGGGCCTGATTTATCTTGTTTAGATGGGTGAGATTGGCTTTCGGATAAAGCAGAGGATATAGTCCTGCGTTTGCCTTGAGGCAGTGAGATAGATAGGCTGCCTTGGTGTGTCACGGTGCAAAGGATTGATTTGTGGTTGGTCGTGGTCTGAGGGTTATAGGATTGTGGAAACACACTGACACTGAGCTTTTATTCTTTTTAAACCATTAGTAGAGTTCTTTTTGACCAGCATTGTGTGGACACTAGAATTAACTAGATACAGGCTTACTTGACATGAAAAACTGAATTTTCTTTCTCTATAATTTTGGTCTTTTTTATAAGATTGATAAGCATTTATAATGTTGAAGTTCATTGTATTGAGAGAGACACAACTAGACTAGTGTCTGGTGTAAGAAAAATACATTTTAAATAAAACAATCTTTTAAAATTAAGCAATAAACCCTGACAGACCTTACATTACTGTGAATTTAGCACAGGTAAGGGCTGTTATTAGGCACCCTTACTCAATAAAATTACTATAATACACAATCTCAAGTGGCTTATTGCCTTTATAAAATGGGAGAAAAATAAAATATGTTAAATGCACACAGTTTGAATAATATATTTGATTTATGAATAATAATAATGTCAAAAACAATTCTCCCACCAAGAAATATAGTTTGTTAGAGTAGAGTATGCATTGACTGCTGATAGTGGACAAACAGTTTCAGTTTCAGTTCATTCTATACTGCAGTCATTTCATGAAATACTTTGTCATATAATATTGAAAATATTATAATCCAGAAGAATATAATGCAGAATCATTTGCCTTATAAGAAGCTTTGGTTCTCCAATTACGAGCACAATGATAATGCTCATTTACATTAGCATCTCAAAGTAATTTCTTGTACTGTGTTAGCATTAAGCGAAAGATGTCACACTTTTGTTTCCTCACACTACTTAATAAGGAGCCCCTAAACTGCCTTAATGAAAAAAGTTTTGCAAAATTTTTGCATTCCCTTGCAAATTCCATTGCATTCGCAAAACATTTGCAAGAATTCCTTCCAAAAATTTTTCAGGAATTTAAAGGGATTTTTTTTCATTATCTTTTAGTTATTTTGCTGACCACAGCCCACTAGGGGCTTCATAACTTAAGGCAGATCCAGCAAACATGCATTACGAGTGTAAGACAGTCAAATAACATATTCTTTACTTTTTATATCACAGTTTTACAGTGAAAAACAATCAGTAAATACTTCAACTCAAAAGACACAACGCTGAATATTAACAGATGTTCTTACTTCATCCATCAATGCACTGGATGGTCCATGTGAGCAGCATAACAGTCCATTCACAGCACAATAGTTGAAGTGACATTGATACAGAATTCAACTGGTGTGCTTCCAGTCAGATTTAAGGACAAGGACTGTCTTTTATAATAAGACATTTGATGCTTTGTCGATCTTACTGATCTTACTTGTCACAGTCTAATTTATAGTGTGGGATTTATGATGTAAATTCTGCTAAACCATACATATCGCTGTTGTCGGAAGAAAACCTCGTATCTCCAGAATGGTAACTTTACAGGGGAAGAAAAAACATACTTTACTTTCTATGTAAGTCAGTGGAACCAGAACTTTTTCCAAGTGGGCTGTTTCTTTTGGTCTATTCATCATGAAATTTACACACAATGTAAAGGGCAACCAGCATTTTCAAATTATGTCAAAAACTGAAAAACGACAAAAATGGAGATACGAGGTTTTCTTCCGATAGCAGTTAGGTGATGTAGAATGAATTCAACTGTGTTACGGCACAGTGTCAACGGGTTTTATGCAACATATGGTTGCAAATCCGAGTCTAGCATTGCCACTGATATGATAGACTGACGGCATTTCCCTTTCACTATAAGTGCTCCAGTTCCATCATGGACTGGTGTGTCAGAAAAGTGAGTCTGACATCTAGTGTTGGAAATGATGAACAATCACTAACCTTTTCACTCTCTAAAAAAGATCAAACGAAATGGACGGACAAAACAATCAATAATGTCACTATCTGCAACCAGTCTGACTTTTTGCATTTCACAGCCCTCAACTAACAATCAGAGTTTTAGGAACTCCTAAGAAGTCATCAAGGAATTGCTCATAAATAGTAGGCCACGCAAAACGCACCTACAAAAAGCACTTTGTCCTCATAAATTAGACAGTGTCTATAAAAAGCTGTACATCTGCAAATACTGTTCTCATTTGAAAAAAGTTAATTATGTATTTTACACTCCATGCAGGCATGAATTGATATATTTTTCTCTATGAAGTTCTGCTGGATTAAATTCAAGAAGCGAGAAACTTGTTCTCTGAATGTAATATGAATCATAAGTGATCCTAAATTCTGACAGGTTGAGATTACTTACAAATGAATTCTGTCAAATACAGAAGGAGAAACCTCTGTGGTCCTGTTCAGTGATTTCATATGAAAGTCAAATACTGACATTTCCAAAGAGTTTATTATGGTACACCTGTAGCCTGTAGCACAGTGACCACTGAAGAGGAAATAAAGTTACGCAATGGATTCCAGAGCGGACTCAATGGAGTGGAAATAGGTTCAGATCGTCTCTGACATCAGTCGTAGATTGCTGGGTCACTGTTTTGTCAGCATCTAGTCCACCATTCAAGCAGCAGGAATATCACGGTTCACGCTTCAAGACACACCTGCTGCTTGAGCGCGGTGTAACATTTTTATATTTTTTGGAATAATGACAAATGAGCAAAATGTTCTATTATTTTTTGTGCAATTGTTTTGCTTAACCAGAATCTAATGTACGATACCTCAGAGATATGTGTGTAGATTTTAAAACACACCCCATGATGTGGTTATATGAATCATAAATCAAAGATCTTCTGCTTTTTCTGGTACTGGTGATGAAGTTGGAACTGGTGCTGGTACTGGGTCCGATTCTGGAGCTGGCACTGGTACTGGTGATGGAGCTGGTGCTCGTACTGGAGCTGGAGCTGATACTAGTGCCGGTACTGGAGGTGGTTCTGGAGCTGGTTCCTCCGCCATAGCTGTCTTTTTAGATGTTCCTTTTCAAGGAAAAAAAAAACAACAGATATGTAGTGACAGTGTGATATTGCTGGTAAGCTCCACATAATAGGATGTGTTTTGGTATCAGTATGAATAGTAATGTTGCATATTTACCTCTGAGGTAGTTTCTGTGGTAGCGGTGACACAGCACCAGGCCAAAGAAGAGGGCGAAGCCAATGCAGCCGGTGACCATCCCACACAAAAGGAAACTATAGCTGCCCGCTGTCTGCATTATCTACAGCCAGTGTGGTCACATGGTTAGAATAAACTCACACAAGTTATAGAAATGCATGCATTAGAGTAGTGCTTCTCAAATGGGTCCTCAGGGCCCCCCAGACATGTGAAACATCTGTAGGGCCCACTGTTAGAACAGTGTTTCTTAATCCTGGTGACGTACAGTCCTACACAGTTTCTAGTTCTCTTTGACTCCACACACCTGATTCAGCTCATGAAGAGCTCAATAAGGAGTTGATGAGCTGGATCAAGTGTGTTGCGTCAAGTAATGCCTGAAACTGTGCACAGCTGTGTCTCCAGGAGCAGGACTGAGAAACACTGTGTAAAAAAAAAAAAGATTCTCACCGATCCGACCAGCACCTGCAGGACCATTTCACCCATTCCAGCACAGGTCACCAGGACCGTAGTGGCACATCCTGAAAAAAAACAGAGTGATGAGCTGTTTGTGTCTGTGTGTGTGCGTTTGTGTTTGTTATTGTCCCCACATTGAAAGGAAGATGGCAAAAATGACTTTTTTGGTTACTGATCTGAAACAGAAATAATTTCTGCATATTTCAATCACTGAGGTCATTCAGAGTGGTTTGCATTGCAAAGAAACACACCTTGGATTTCTTTACAGTGTTGTTAATACTATGAAGTATTCGGTACATTTGCACCTCAGATATTTACAAATATTGTGTTACGATCTATTTAAACCCAAGGCATTCTTTGAGATTGTAATATGCTAAATATATACAAGAAAGCAGAATTTGTAAAATATTTTCTATTGGGAGTTGTCTAAGTGTATGTACATTCATGTATATTTCTTTTAAAGTGAAATATTTAGATTTACCCTGAGTTTAATTTTTAAATAAAATTTGTTTTAATGCCACTACCAAGACCCAGAGTTTTGTATGTAGGCGGAGCCTTATTTCAGCCACACCCCTGCGTTTTAGAGCAGGAAGTGAGACTGCATCCCTGTCCCTCATGGCTACATTGTGAGCAGTTAGATCCCGTTGTTCTGAAGTAAATGTGTCCTAAAGTCTGAAAATTATCATGTAACATTAAGAACTGTCATTACTAAAACACACATTTTCTACAGTTAAATAGACGTGTTTGTGTTTTAATGAAAAATATTATGTTGTTACGTGTTACAGCTGTTCAAACCTGTGTGTGCTAGTCATGTACTAGCTGGCATTTTTGAGTTCTGCTCAAAATTATCAGTCACTACCAAAACATTTGGTAAAGTTTTAGTAGTGTTTGTATTGTTTTGGTAGCAACAAAATGAAATATTCAATCATATGTTTTATTAAAATAAACATAATTAAGGTGCAGGGTCACTCAATACAAAAGGATTTTAGTTGAAAGTCCAAATCAGTTAAAAGTCTGTTGTGTTTTAGAATGATCCATATAAATTGTATTTATAATCCAAAACCACATATCTTTTACATGTGCATTTTCCACGAGTTCTTATAATCAACCCCTTAAGATCCCAGTCTTATTACATACTGAGGCTTTTTATTCAGTAACTACAGGGACTTCGGTGCAAACTGGTTTAGCTATTCTAAACTTATAGAAGTGTGTAATAAAACTTTGGGCCTGGCAGAGTTAAAGTTAATAATGGTGAAATAGAGGTCAATTACAGTGCCCTGCATGTACCTCTCCACCATAAATGGATTAGAAAAATACATTTTAGGCCAAAAACTTATCTCAGAACTATCTAAAAAACACTGTCTCAAGCATCAGGCTTCATATTCACAACATTTACATTACATTTCATGTAATAACTTTCCATGTGGTCAAATTTAGAGGCATTCAACTCCTCAGATGTCTGGTTCCTATCATTACTACTGTGAACTTTTCTGACTCGGTAAGTATCTCTAGAATGGAGCATTTCATATCAGACCACTTTACATGTTAGATCTAAGCTTTGGATTAAAGTGGATTAAAGTAAGGTTTAGAATTTGCCAAAAGTAAAGCAACATAAATGTGTGTGTACTTGTGTTTATAGGTATCTCACTGCTCTTAGGATATCATTTTCCCTTACACACCCTTACTGATAGATTGATACACTGACACACACTCCCACTAACCATTCCTCAATGAATCAACATGATTTGATCAGTTCTACTAAAATATTAGAATGTTACACGCTGCAAGAAGCTAGTATATGTTAATGTAGCTTCGCTCTACCACACATTCTGACACAGCGTCCAGGTTTTTCATGTTTTTTCAGGACATTATTTACTAATATGTCAGTGAAAATACTCCAGAAAGATAGGAATACAGAAGTGGCTGTGTGTGTTTGTATACCCTGGTAGTCCAGAATGTCCTCAGTATAGGCGAGCATGCATGGGAAGATGCTGCTGAGAAACAGGCCCAGTAAACACGTTCCTACAAACAGGAATATGCTACTGGTGTAGAGAATCAGCAGCAGGAGGACGGTGATTATCACACCAGCCTGAGATACACAGCCAGAGAGAGAGAGTGTTTTTACTATTACTGTGACTTACGCATTAACTAAAAAGGAGAGATCTGTATTTACAGACTGTTCACTGTATATAGAACACAACACATAACTGCTTACTCTAACAGTACATAACATACCTTATATATTGTGTTTGTAGTATTATGTGTATATATACACATGTATATCACTGCTGTCGGATAAAAACCTCGTACCTCCATTTTTGTCGTTTTTCAGTTTTTGACATAATTTGAAAATGCCTGTTGCTCTTTATATTGTTTGTCTTCCGACAACAGTGATATATCATTCATAGATATACTTATAATTGTGCATATATTGTTCATATAGTTATATATTTCATAGATACGTCATATTTGTGCCTGTTATTGCACATTTGCACTGTCCGTTTTGCACTATTGCTACTGTTTGCACTTCTGGTAGATGCTAACTGCATTTCGTTGCCTTATACTTGTACTGAGCAATGACAATAAAGTTTTATCTGTCTATGTATCTATCTATCTATCTATCTATCTATCTATCTATCTATCTATCTATCTATCTATCTATCTATCTGTACAGATACAGTCATTACCAGGCTGATTATGAGCAGGTACAGTGGTTTGAGGCGATAGGCGAGCGGGATGGACATTAGCCGTCCTCCAGTGATGGCAGCCCAAAAGATGCAGGGTAAGTAGCCGGCTGTTTTGTGATGTAGTGACATCGGAGCTGACACAGCGTATGTGTACGCAAAACCAGCATAGGCCCCCTAGAACAAACAGTTTCAATTTGTGTTACAAATTCATCACAAAAAACGATACAATTACTTGATTTTAAAATTCTAATCGTTAAAATCATCTGCAATGACTTGTTGGCAATTTACATGATAATAATGTATATCTGAAATTCTCCTGCTGGTCTCTCTTACAGTAAGAAAGATCACAGCCTGATCTGATTGATATGTATTTTTGCCATATAGTGTGTGTGTGTTCTTATATTGTTTCAGATTAAATCCTTCCTTCCTAGTTTATCTATTTACAGTAAAGTATTTTGGTAGTTTGTTATTATTCAGCACCTTTATTGTTTGGCCTTTTGTTTATTTGTCTATTTTATTTGTTTATGTTTAGGATCTCTGTTAGCTGCTATCATAATAGCCGCTATTCTTCCTGGGGTCCAGTAAACATACTATACATTATAAAATAGTACAATAACAATCAACAATACAAGTGATTCAAAACATGAGTAAAAAAAATGAAAGAAAACAAAACACATGAAAAATGGAAAATAACACAGTAGGACAATTGAAAACATTAAATAACAGCAGAAAGACGGTTGAAACGGAAAAATCATTCCAAAAGAAAAGGGTCATTTGGTATCTTTGCTGGCCTTTGTCACTGAAATTACTTGATTTATTGTCAAAATTATCTGTAAATTATTCAGCTACTAATATAATCCATAGTGGCAGCTCTAAAATGTCCATAAGAAATCTGGGACATCTACATTACTGCCCTAGCAAACTCACCACAATGCCATCAGTCATGAAGAGGACAATCCCACCTAGAATATGGACTCCAAAGAATGAAGCAGGAAGTTCGCGAAGGTTAGTGTTCATACAGCAGCTGAAGAGGTCACCATGGCCTGGAGACAATACAGTCAGGATAAATTAGGTTAAAACCAGTATGGAGATTATGGAGATATACTTTTCTGTTCTTCATCTGTACCTCCTGCATCCTGTTCAGGAGCCTCTGCTGTCTCTGGCATTTGGGTCTCCATGGCCAGCTCATCCTTGTCCAGCAAACGTGGAGAGCCATTCGGGCAAAACGGGATCAGCTTCTCTCGGTACATCAACACAAACACTGCAATGGGCACTGGCAGCTATAGGACAGGAGAGACATGGTGCACGCCTTAATGCCACAACCAAAACAGCATAGCGCACATTGTTTAAATCTCTATTTGTTGCCCCTCCTGGGCCTCTTGCGGTGCTAGAGCCTATCCCAGTGGTCATTGGGCAGAAGGCAGGAAACACCCTTATCAGGTCTCTAGACCATCACAGGGCAGACACACAGATATAAACATTTACACCTAGAGCCAATTTAGCGTCTCCAATTGGTCTGACTGCACATCTTTAGACTGCGGGAGGAAAATGGAGCACCTGGAGGAAACCCACACAGACATGGGGAGAACATGCAAACTCCACACAGAAAGGACCCTGGTCGCCTGGCTGGCAATTGAACCTAGGCCCTTCTTGCTGTGAGGCAAAAGCTCTACCCACTTCACCACTATGCTACCCGAGAATGCCATATTGATCGATTACCACCACATTAATTTCATTTTAATATATGATATCAATTGTGAGAAGTCAGGAGGATGTCAAACTAAAACATTAAGAGAGAATAGCAAGCATCAGGGAGGTGCTTATGTAAAAATGTGTGCTTTTAATTGGAAAAAAGGTATGGCTATATAATTGTTTCTGCTTTGTTCTATATAAATTAATGACCATGATAATCATTTATGGCATCTGGCATTCAGTCCTATCCATTATGACATAAAATTATTATTTTTTAATCATGTTACTGAAGTAGGTAAACATAGCATTAGGAGTCTTGCCCAGGTGGAGAAACATTTGGTCTGCCAGATAGAGGGCAGCAGTGTCATCCATTATGCTATTCCAACTGCAAACGAGCAGATGAGATGAAAGCTATCTCTTAAAAGAGTAAAACTCCTGTTGAAAGTAGTTAGTATCCTACATTAATAAGAGCCATGATCCAGAATGCGTAGGACACGCTGGACTGCTCTGTGATCGGCGCAGAGTGTTCAGAGTAGTTGAGAGGTACGGGGCTCCTGAAACCGGCAGCCAGGCTGTGTCTGAAGTGGTGAATCAATCCTGCGTCATCCTCTGTGCTGTTGATACCGGGGCAGTGCTCTGACAGGAAGGGGTCTGCGATCAGAGGGCTGACCAGGGCCCCAAAGCCAATGAAGAAGTGCAGTGCCTGGGAAAGGATGAAAACATAGAGGTGCATAACACACCCTAAATAAAACTGTATTATGATGTATTAAATATTTTTTGCTTTGTTTATTTGCATAATAAAACTGTTTTTTTGCATACCAATTTCATTATATTTATAGTTATAGCAACATATTATTCACAATATATTTGATTTGATAGTGGTATCTACTCAATCTTACACATCACTAATTACTGTTTGTACGTTTTGATTTGAATTATGCAAATTTAAGCAGTCTCTCTTGTAAGAGAATGCTATTATAAATATGTATATGTTTTCACACCTGCAGGAAGATTGCAGAGTCTTTCTGGTAAAGAGCCACCAGTTGAATGTTTGCAATAGTGTCGATGATGCCCATTGCCAGCCCTGACACCGCCATGGCTACAGCTAATAACAGCACATTGTAGCAGAGAGGAATGATGGCAAAAACTAGAGAAATTACAAGGGAGGACAGGAGGAGAGCAGCAAGGGCACTGAACAACCTGAAAAAGAGAGAGAGAGAGAGAGAGAGAGAGAGAGAGAGAGAGAGAGAGAGAGAGACATTGCATTAGGCATAGCTCAGATGTTATGATTATTGTTCATATTAGAGGTGGGTAGTTACATTTACTCAGTGCTGTGTACTGAGTATTTTCAATTCATATTTTTTTTTACTTCTACTCAAGTAAATAGGTCTGTCATTGAATTTTAGACTAAGAGTGCATCAAAAAGAGAGGAATGGAGCCTAAAAAACTGGAGTTCCTATGCTGATAGATACTGGATGTACTAAGATTCCACTGTAGATGTATGTGTTACTCAGTACTTGGATAGTTTTTTGACCTGACACTTTTGCACCCCTATTTAAATTGTGAATAAGAGGACATTGATGTTAACTTCTTGAGGGCAGCTGAGTATGCATTATTTCAACCAAATAACAATAATTTACTTGAGTACAGATTTAGACTGCTCAACTCAGCTATGGCTCATACTAAATTATATATATATATATATATATATATATATATCATTGTCCATTTTAGTGGCTACCAACATTGATATTTGCCTCTTTTAAGACAAAAATTTGGGCACCCCTGACATACACATTGTTCACAAAAGAGTGACAAACATATGTAAATATATGATTGATGAATGTTTCTATATATATATGAATGTTTATATATATATATATATATATATATATATATATATATATATACTCATTGTCCATTTTAGTAGCTCCACTTACCATAAGGGGCACTTTTGCACACAGTTGCAGAACGTGGTCCTGCATACTTTGTTAACCCCTTTTAGCTTTTTCTGTAAAGTGTAAAGGTCAGGAGGACCCCTCACAGAGCAGGTACTATTTGGGTGGTGGATCATTCTCAGCACTGCAGTAACACTGACGTGGTGGTGATGTGTTAGTATGTGTTGCACTGGTACGAGTGAATCAGTGCCCACAGGACGCTGTTGGCTGGATATTTTTAATTGCTGGACTATTCACAGCCCAGCAGTGACAATAACGGTGACAAAAACTCCAGCAGCACTGCTGTGTCTGATCCACTCATACCAGCTCAACACACACTAACACACCACCACCACGCCAGTGTTACTGCAGTGCTGAGAATGACCCACCACTCACTCTGTGGTGGTCCTGTGGGGGGCGAAATAATACAGAAATCATTCTGAAAGCCACTTCAGTCTATTTGTAGACAGTTATTTTACTGTCTGAAAGGTTTACAAATGGAGAAAGTGACAAACCACTGGCAGCCTGCCAAGGCCAAGCAAACCCATCAGACTCAGTCTAAGAAATAACCAAAGATGCTGCAAAATAACCTGAAAGGATTTACAGGAAAGTTTTTCTTTGGTCAGTGTCAAAATGCACAAGTCAGACACCTGAAGAAGCTATGCAATTATGAAAAGGAATATAGATGCATTTAAGTGCCTGTCAACATTTACATGAAGATCAAGGCACATTAAAGTTTTTCTTAGCAGAAATTGGCTTTTTTATTTTATTTTATTTAATTTTTTATTTATAGCCATACAAATATCTATGCATGCAAATGAACCCTTTCATAAGGAGTGCTTCCTTTTTCACAGCACTGCAATTTCTAATCAGACCTGCAGTTTGTCCTGAAATCTTTATAAACATGGAGAAAGACGTCTTCTGGAAAGAGCAGTTTAGAATCACCAAAGGAAAACTCACGTCTTCTTGAAGGCGCCGCCAATTGAACTGCCGACGAGCAGACAAAACTGCTGTGAGAAGAAGACCCAGGTGATCTCCTGTAGCGTAGAGTTCGTCTGGCATTTCAGATCTAGAATAGTGGGCCCCAGGAAGGCTATGCAGAGTCCAAAGCTGAAGAATACGCTCCAGTACGTGAGTGTATGCTGACAGTTCCGTTTAAAAAGCGTTATTAGATGCTCCTCAATGAACATACTGTCCTCAGAAAATGACTCTGAATCAGATGATGGACTGATGGATGTCAGTGTTTCTGAAGGCTCTGAGGGTCTCCTGCTCACACGTGTACTGACTCAGCACCTTTCTGACTCTGCTCAAGTCAAGAATGTTACAACTAGTGATATTCCATATTTATAGAACCGGTCACTCCCTCCCCTCTGATGGTACATGAGAAAAATACATTTTAAGTTAATACTTGAAAACAAAGACTCATCTAGAACTGTCAATGATTTTCAGGTGTTGAAATCAGATTTCAGCAGAAGCAATTATGGTTCCGTCTTCCTATCCTGTCTGTTGTGGAGTTAATTTGTGTGTGTGTCAGGGAGGGGGACTGAGGACTGAGGTGGCTTTTTCTGGCCCGTGTACATTTAAAGACCATTTCTTTTTATCATAAATTTGAGTAAATACAATTCAATGACTGTAAAATATGTACAATTTTTGTTTAGAGTTGTTGTAAACATACGTTACTGAAACATTCATCAAAAAAACATTGTTTATTAATGTTTGTCACTCTTTTGTGAACAATGTGTGTGTCAGGGGTGCCCAAATTTTTGTCTTAAAGGAGGCAAACCTCAATGTTTGTGGTGGACTGAGGAACAATTTTTGAAATATATACGTTATAATGTTACACCATATTTTGTGGCTGGTAAATTTTAAAAATAAAAGTTTAATAAGCGTCAAGTTAAATATAGTATCAAATATGTCTGTTCTCTCATTGGGTGAGGACTTGGGGATAGGGTACTTTTTTTTTTGGAAGGCAAATCAAACAGTTTGAGCAGCGCTGGTAAAAGTATTTTTAACAGATATACTAGTTTTTACATTAATTATCATATTCTCTAATCAGACAGTATATCTATCAATGACCTTTCTGTTCGTTTTTTGAAATCCAGTAGATGTATTGTGGTGTATTGTGCATAAAATGAAGGTTCAAATGCTATTCAGACTTACAATACTTGCTGTTCTCTGTGTGGGTCCTTAGAAAAGGCCTCACTCTTCATTTCAGTTGATCCTGGGAAAAAGACTAGAGACAGGGGAATGATTAGCTTTACACATCCGCAAAATGTTACTTATGTTCCCTAGTCCTGGTTAAGAAGTAAGTTCTTGCTGCATTCTAAGAATGGACTGGTCAGTCAACACTAGACCAAGTGTATTACATTCTCAACAACTACTTACATCAGAAAAAATAACTTCCTGCCTTAGTTAGTCTTGTCTAGACAGCAGCATTAAAACACATACTTAACACATGTCCTATTTGATATGCTGATGGACATTATGCTCCTGCTTTAATGCTGGTTTTAACAGGCCCTGGTCCACTTGGACTTATCATTTCCCCTCAGGGGGGACCCCATAAAGCCATCTTACAGGTTGTGGCATTACTTTATTAGCTGAAGTGAAGGGTGTTACATGAGCCCTCAGATGGGCAAGGGATTGAGCGAACACCAGAAATCTTTGCAACCTGACGCATTTGTCTTTCCAAAAGCCAAAATAATGGGGTTTAATCACAAAGCTGTTTATTAGCTAATATTTAATATTTCAAAACCATAACATTGAATTTACTGGGCTTTAGGTTACAAACTACTTCATGACTGCTGATACAAATTCATGATATTCCTCTGCTAGCTGGCTTGATAGCATGATAACGGCTACACGGCTAACAAGAACAAAAATAAAGCCACTACATCACAGTTCTACTCCAAATTTGCAGCCAGACAAAGCAATTACTCTCACACAATATATGAAATATGCTCAAAATGCATAAAAAAAAACATTTTGCATTGCAAAGTTTGCATGGCTAGCTTTTTAGCTCACTGAGGCTGACCTGCAGAGGGCGAGTGTGTCCTGCTCCTGAATCTGCTCCTCACTGTCCCCTCCATCACTTGTGTAATGTAGAAGTTTTGCACATTCGAGTAGTGAGTCGAAGAGAGTTGAAGTTAAAAAGAGAACAGAAATGGGGCCTATATGTTTGCGAAAAACCAAAATAGAAATTCTTAACATAAAGCGAAATGCAGGACACTAAAACTGAAAGTTTTTATATTTTATTTTATTATATTTAATTTAATTTTAATGGTTTTGAGTTAACATAATAATGCTGACGATGCTTCAAAGAAATGAAAAAGTTCAAATCTCAAATGATTTAAGAAATTTCAATCAATTTGTTCTAACCATAGTATTGAGTCAACATTGGTCCGTTTTGTGAATGAGCTCAAGCATAGTAATAATGCGGAAAATCATTCTATTTTGGTCTTGTTGGATCTTAGTGCAGCTTTCAATACTGTGGATCACAAAATTCTAATCCACCAAACTAGGTAGTCCTCTCAGGCATTATTTTCAAATGGCTTAAATCATATTTAATGAATAGACAGTTCTTGGTTCGGCTTGGAAATCATTGAAAAAAGTAATATTTCTTGTGGAGTGCCACAAGGTTCAGTTTTAGGGCCTTTGCTTTTCTCTTTGTGCATGTTTCCTCTAGGTGATGTCATTAAGAAACACAACATCAGCTGTACTGATGATACACAATTATAATTTTTTATTCTTTCTGATTATCAAGACTCTGTTGACAGGCTTACCAGCTGTGTGTCAGTGGATTTCTCTAAGTGTTAGATTTTGACACTTAACAACTATATATATATATATAGGGTAGCGCTGTCGCCTCACAGCAAGAATGGCCTGGGTTCAATTCCCGGCCGGGCAATCAGGATTGTTTCTGTGTGGAGTTTGCCTGTTCTCCCCGTGTCTGTGTGGGTTTCCTCCGGGTACTCTGGTTTCCTCCCACAGTCCAAAGACATGCAGTCAGGCCAATTGGACATGCTAAAATTGTATATATATATATACATATGTGTGTGTGTGTGTATATAATATATAAAAGTATATATTGTACTCATATATAATCTTTTGTATTTTTGAGTGGCTGAAATTTCGGTGCGTCCCTACTTCATGTACCCCTTCATAACTTGATGTGGAGATCAAGATTTAGTTATACTTTTAGGATCAATGTTGTGGTATATTTAAACAGCTTTGATGCTCCAGTAGACCTTCACAGTCAAGCTTTTTTAAAATGTGCAGTTCTCAGTTTAGTTTTCTTTTACATCCCAACGAAATGGAGCAGAAAAAGGGCTTCATACAGAACAGCTCCAGGGCTTCCCCTGACTGGTTTAACACTGAACACTAACAATGACTGCATGAGTTGAGCACCTCCGTGTCACTTTCACTGACTTCGGAGTTTCATCCCTGAGCACTGTTACTCCAAGAATGTAACAGATGCTTATTATGCGGACTGAAGTTCCCTTCTTTCTGATTAAATCCTTTTACTTGGTTGAAATAGTGCATTTCCTTTCAACATAGACAGAGGTGATCTCAGGAAGTGCTAAGCATCTCCAGCCTGAGAACAGTGGCAAATGTTTTTTTATTATTGATACTCATTAACAACCTTAGCTCTACTCCTACTTCCTCTACATGAGTTACACTGGCGCAGAGTAACTTATTGCAAAGCAGTTTTAACTGAGAACCAGTGAGACAGCACTCAGGGTGCACTGTGTGTTTTCCTTGCATGCTGGCAACAGTGGCGATACATTCAAGCGTCACCAAAATTTGTATTAATATTGTGATCTTGATTTTTCACTTTAATTTAAGAACAGTGTTGATTCTGCAGGCTGTTTTAGGGCTACAACGATCATTGGAACTCCTGCACCGCCACACTCCTGCTTGCAAAGTTCACCCCTGTTCTATGCAAAGTGCAGCCATTTCCTATTTGAAAAAAATGTACAAAATACTCCAAATGTTATTGCCTTTGCTGGCATCTAAAGCAAGCTTAAATACATGATAAAGCCTAAGCATTTAGCCTACTTTATCAGTGGTCAGAGTACAGTACTGGCTAGCCTCAACCAGCTGACAACATGAACCAGAAGTAATTACCAACCAAATATTAGAGAAAGTTCTTAATGTGTTCATAGTGAATATTAAAGCTAACTGGATTCCATCTGAGAACAAATACATGTTGGTAAGTAGGCCTATGCATGTCCCATTGCTTTATCACGGTTTGCTATTGTATTGACTGAATGAACAGAATGTTGGGTAAAAGTGACCTGAAATCTGAGCACGCTGGTGCATTTATGTCTTATTTCATTAAGACATAATGAGAGGCCACCCAGGTGCTAGTTCAGCCTCTTGTCATCTCAAGGCTTGACTACTGCAACTCGCTCTTGGCTGGTCTTCCTATGCAGCCTCTGCAACTCATCCAGAATGCAGCAGCACGGCTCGTCTTCAATCTCCCCAGGTTCGGCCACGTCACCACACCGCTGTGCTCCCTTCACTGGCTCCCTTCAAGACGCGCGGATGACAAGCATCAAGACTTTTCTCTGTGCTGGCACCCAGGTGGTGGAACGAACTCCCACTGGCTGTCTGTACAGCAGAGTCTCTCGCGGTCTTCAAACGCAGACTGAAGATCCATCTGTTTACACAGCACTTAAATGAGTTAAGTGTTCATTGTAATCTACTGTACTGCACTTATTGAAATGTATTGTATTGTATTGCACTGCGCTGTGTTTAACTCTGTTCCTTTTCCTCTGGGTATCAACAAAGACTTTTTGTTTCTAGCAGTCTCTGAGCTCAGGACTGGCTTTCTCTCTGACCTGTTGGTAACTAGCAAAGATACTTTCTCTAGATAGACAAAGCACTTTTTGTAAGTCGCTCTGGATAAGAGCGTCTCCTAAATGCTGTAAATGTAAATGTAAACTTCACTTCACAGAATATCTGGTGGGTCGCAGTGCAGACTGTTACGACCTCCTATGTCTAGGGGAACACTTAAGGTCGTACATAAAAAAAAAAAAGACAAGCCAACGTCATCCAACTGCCAGACCAAGACACCACCAACTACAAATAATTGATCACTTATCAGCATTTATTTCTTTTAACTTGAACAAGTTAAAGGCCCCATCTTATAGAAGTTGGTAAGTCTAGTTTTAAACTGATCAATTGCAAATGAGCTTACACAAAAGATAAACTTCAGGGGCTGAGATAAAGTCAAAACAAACTAGAAATAAAAGATAACTAAGCTAATCTA